TCTCTTACATTGCTATCACTCCATTCACTCCATCAAAGTTATCCTAATTTCAGTACCTCTGTTAGTAAGGTGCATAGATACATGGAAAATAGGTTCATAGATACTTATTTGTTCTGGGAAGGATTTGTGCATTCAATTCTCATGCATCATTTTCTGGTCCATTTAAATATATATCAGCCTCATACATGAAAATTTGAAGATCTTTAGCTGTACTCAAGGAAGACTCTTATGTGGTGCGTTTCTAGTACTGGCAAACATAAGGGGGTAGAGGAATTAAAACCATCACAGTGCTCCAGTGCCCCTTAGAAGATGAGGAACATGAAGTATTCCTGTGCATTCACTGATTAAACTTGGGCTGGAGGTTTGCGAAGTGCAGAGTTTTGGAAACTCTTACTGCGGGACTTCAACATCCGTGCAATGGCTCCAGTAACCAGAGTCTCTCAAGGACAAGGATCCCATTTACGCTTGCATTATGCATTGAGCAGAAGGGTGTGATGCATGATGTGGAATGAACAAAATAACTTGTGTGTTTAGGGAAATGCCAAATTAATGAAAATTCAGAAAGCTCTAATGTTGAAAAGGCACACAGATTCCTTGATAGAAATATAATGCTGCTAACAGTTTCAAGATTATTGTTGTCTGAATTTTCTGCTTATTGTGTACTGCAATTAAAATTCTTTTCAACTGAAAAACCAATGTCAAATTAATATTTCCTTTTGGAAAAAAATACGAAAGTACACATCTTGTTCCATTTAGCACCATCATGGTCTTTGATCTGGTTCCCTCTGTCCAGTGAAAAAAATGGATTCATGTTAATGGTAGCAGACTAAGACCATATATGTTTGGCATACATACACTTACAGAATCACATGAACACAAGTACAGTAAGTTAACACACCCACTCAGACTTCCATCTGTGTTTTATGCCACAAATCCCTTTATTTTCTCTTTTATTTAGCAATTAACTTCTCCATTTTTTCTGTAGTTAAAAGCTGCCATAAGATGAAAATAGACTAAGTCTGATTTTCTTCTCTTGCACTCTAAATAATATTCAGAGGAGACTCAGACCTGAATTATAAAATCTGTGTTTCCTAAAAGTGCCAGGTGTGACTGTGATTTGGACAACAGTCCTATACACAGAATAGTAAGGAACACTTTCAAACCCCACCTGGGTTACCCAGCCGTTGTGTTCTGGTTGTTCTTGTTTATTCCTTGCTCAGAGCAGATGGATAGAAAGAGGCAGGGAACGGGGAGGATCGTTGGCTCCATTCCCTATTCACCGGCCAGCGCAGCTGAGACCGGTTGGGGGATATTGTAATTTGTTGCTGCCCTGCACCAGAGAGGAGACAGAGGAGAGTCAGGACTCAGAGGAGTCCTTATGAGTTGGCACTACCCTTTCCTTGGGGCCATGTGAAGTGCCGAAATCTGGTCTTCAGTGTAGTGGTCCCCAATATTCATTAGCTCTTGGGAACAACGCTGAGGAAAGCCATGCAAGGCAGCAGCATCCTCCCTGGGCTCTGCCAGTTTTAACTTTTTAATTTCCTGCATCCCTGAGCAACACAGGAGGGGAAGCTGTGGACTGGGGACCACTAAATGTGTTAAAACTCATTAGGTATGAAACGGAAGACCCTTAAAACTAACCAAGAGTCTCAAACATGGGTGCCAAAAATTAAACACCTAATTCCATATTTAGTCATTTATCTTCGTTCCTGCCTCAGTTGTTAATATACACCATGCCATCTCATAAGTGGCCTGATTTTCATCGGCACCGGGCACCTACAATGCTAACAACTCAAGTGTTGAGACTGCTTACCTAAGAGTGAGACTTGTAGTATCAGATTCAAATTTTTCTGGGTGATTAAACCAGAGTCCCCTCACTCTCGCTCTCGGCTCCTGAAGGGAGCTTCGATAGAATGACCAGCATTGTAACATATGGCTTAGCAAGGGGGAAAAAAAAGAAAATGAGTATTAGAAATGGATGGACTAAAGAATACGCAGGATATATCAGGCACATTAACCAAACATATGGTGCTAAATGAGATATTTTTTTAAAATTGCAAAAAAATTGACATTCCTGGCAGTCTCAAGGATAATGTGACATGGCTGTGATAAATTTAGAAGAATGGGACATATTTTGGCTTGTTCTTGGAAACCTTTTTCTTGCATGCCGACTGTATTTCTTCTTTTATTAACCCATTCAAAGAATGTTTGAATTTTGCTGCTAGAGCACCATGCTAGTGCAACATAAAATGTGAATGATGCTAATTGCTTTGCACTGCCTAACTTTCTGTCATACCCTCCCCTCTTAAAGGACAAAACATGCTTTGGAAATGAGCTGGCAAGCTCATCTTATTCTTTCTCTTGGTCAATATTAAGTGATGTAATTAAGCTCCTGTTTGCATATTCTTCTGAACTAGGAAGCAGCCATTTTTTTCTTGAGATCCGATGGATATGATCACTCAAAATAAAATGTGTCATTACAAACCTCAAACAAAATAAAAACATGGTAGAGTTGGACTGTTCCAAACCAATACATCTCAGAATACCCTGAAATAAAAAAAAAAAAAAAAAAAAAGAGAGTGGTGGTAATAATGACAATCAGAACGGTGATAACAAACAAGTACAACAAAAGTAGGAACCAATTATCAGTGCTTCAATTTGGCCTTCTATTGAATTTTACAACATAGTGTTACATTAAAATCTCTATTTTCACTTGAAAACAGCTGCCCTAAAATCCATCCCCATACGAACACGTCACTGCTCGGCGCACAGACTTAGAGATCTTACTCCTTCCATGAGCTCCGCTGCTTGCCCAGGGCACAGGTACTCCTGCACCCTCCTGGATCTCTGCTCGTGGGCTGCGCAACCATCAGCTGCGTGCGGGGCCTTGTGCCTCCACGCAAGAGTGCTGCAAGACCTTGCAGTTAGAGCAGCTCACAAGAGCCATATTTTAGCGTGATAATCCCTGTGCATAAATAGTCGTTTGTTCTGTCCGTGATATTTTGCACTTAGAGGGATGGAGCCTGCTATGGTAAAACCTTCCTGGGGGGCAAACCTAGCCCCTTCCACAGCTCAGCCCAGAAGAGATGTACCCACGGCCTTGCTGCCAGCAGCGTAGTTCCTCTACCCCTCCCCAAGCACAAATATTGCCACTGACCCTTGACTTTGTGTTTAGGGCTGGGGTTGACACTCCTTTGGTGTTTCCATCCCTGGTTCCTCCATCATAAGGAAGTCTGGGTCAACAGCACCGTTAGCTTCTTTTGAGTATCCCTGTCCTGAATATGGGCACTCAAAAACAGGGCAGTAACTAAGTTACATCCCAACATGCCAGTTGAGCAGAAATTCAGCAGGCTGCATTGGAATATTTCATTGAAATACTTAGTTTAGTCTCCTTTTCTCTCTTACACCCAAACTGAAATAACACTTTTTTGCTTTTGTCCCTACTCCAAAGTCCTTAAGACCAATATGAAAAAAACCCAACCCAGTATTTTTCTTGCACAATAGCCTGTCAGTTCAAAACTTTTATTTTTAAAAGATTAAGTATTTAACCTTTCTTGCTATGAGGAAAAAGCTACCACAACAGCAAACCCTTATAGCAAACAGTTTAGAGACAGAAAGCTGCAAGTACAACACTGGAACTCTAACCACTCCTTTACTTTATTTAACTTTCTGAAATATAAACTGCAAAACCTCACTGAAACCGTTAAGACCCCAGCAGTGCAGCGTATAAAGTACAAGAAGGCTCCTACATATTACAATCAACGTCCCAGGGACTATAAAACTAGTGTTATTAAATATAAAGTTAATAATAGTGTCCAGAGATAATATTGTCCAGGCCTGTCTCTTTACTTTTTAACAATTAAATTCTATAAAATACAGAGTTGGAAATAAGGTTGAATTACTTTGCTAGTGGAAGTTCAACTTCCACATTATCTGATACTTTGCTTTTGCACCTGAAAGCTCAACTATTCTGGACCTTTGTTTTGCTATATCCCCACGGATATGCAAAATGTCTGATGTACTGTATGTACTGGAAATCACGTGTTTTTAGAGTATGTGCAGATAATCAGAATACTCCTATGCCTCTAGAACTATAAAAATACAGAGAATAATACAGATACGCATACATATTCTTCACCTACATGCAGTAATATTCTTTTATCCAAGCATAAATCATATGGAGAAAAGGCTCAGACTTTAAGAGCCTATTGCAATATATTCATTCCACTAATTTCTTCGGTGCCACGGGCTTGATAGGATATCAACAGGAATTATTCTTACAGCGTATAGCAGACCGGTCATATTAGCATTACACCATTTCTGCCTGTCCACGGGAGAGGTTTCACCCGATGGCAACTTAACTCTGATTTTCATTGGAAGCCTTTGATATAGTTCAAGGGCATAATAACAACTCTGAAATAATTCCACTGTGGCTTCTAATATCAAGACACAAATACCACTCACCCTTTAAAAATTTTGAAAGCAAAAAGGAACCACATAAATATATTACTTTCAAATACCTTTGAAGTCAAGAGAGTAAGGAGAGGGGCACAGTTTGAACTCAGAAAACTTCGTTCTCTAGTTGTGCCTTGAGTCGTGCAGCACATTTAAAAGATCCATTTGCAATAATCTACTAAACCAGTGAGTGAAAGACAGAACTCATAAAAAGCCTGTAAAAATCCAAATGCTCCAGCTATTACAGATTTCTAAAAATAAAGCAGAGTAGGTTTCAGTAGCAATAATAAGCTGCATCTTATCCATATTTCAGATTTAAAAGAAAAATATGGCTGCCTTTTAGTACTCATTGCTCAGAGCAGACCATGGCCGCTTCTGCCTCAAAAAAGACCACAAATAGAAGTGAGCTTTCTGCTTGCTGTTGTATTCCATTTCGTTTGTCCTTTAAGTTTATCTAGCTGCTTCTGCACCCACTTTCACAATGCATAGGCTGTCGTTCCATGACCTAGCATTATTAAATTGCACTTATCAATCATTCTTGCCAGGAATACCATCGCCAACTACATTAAAGAAGTCAGAGAAGTCTGGTTTCAGCAGTCCCTCGCCTTCGCAGACCTCCTCCCTTGGAACGGCTTTCACACAGCACCATCGACCTGTCATTACAGGACCCAGAGGTGAGGCCTAACCCAAGAGCCCCCAGGCAGCTTAAACATTAGCCACGGCACCCAGTACCCGTCCCAGCGCCTTTCCACGGAAAGTCATCGCCACGTGTGACCCACCCAGTGAGAGGCTGTGCTTCAGAAGCTTGATAACCCGGAGGTTTTAGTTGTCAAGACCTGCGTTTGGTTTTGCTAGGCTGGGCTGTTTGGTAAAACTGATGACCGTTCAACAGTGCCTAAGGTGGAAACGCTGGTTTCTGGGGGCTTGGGTTTTTATTTGAAGAGGGTGGGGAAAGGGACAGGATGTGTTACAGAGACTGTCTTCTGCCTGTGCCATTCATAACACAGATTCAGCCTAACTCCTCGAGATAGGGACCCATCATTCACTTCTGAACCACGCCTGTCTTCCAGCACTATGGCTTTGTTTCTGCCAGTCATTTAGTGCTCGTGTTGTTGGTATCAGTGTGCGGAAGAACCACCCTGTTAGGGGACTCCTTTGACGTTGGCTCCTGCAATGCTTTGGCTTGTTTTCTTCACAGTACTATTCTGACTGACTTTCCAAGTAAAAGAAAGAGATGTCCTCTGGGTCTAGATGTGCTTATACATTTTTGTTAGAAAGATGCATTTGCATTTAGCCTAGAAAACTAAATGCAATACTCAGTTCACATTTGAAAAGGAAGTCACTTGGGCATAGTAATATACACAAATGAATGAATCTTCTTACAAACCTCTTTGGAAGATATAAAAATAGGAATGAACGGTTGTGACATGTTTCTTTCCGCTATGAAATTTTGTCTCATTTAGAGAAGATTATTAAGGAATTGGTCGAATGGTGAAGCATAAAAAGGCATATTAGCAATTCATACTAGAAATTATTTTGAAACGTCTGTTTGGCATTGGTGTGGTTTTACTGAGGGCAGCATAAACCAGGAGGAGCCTCTTTGTCTGCACAGTCCAGGTGACGCGGTGTGAAGTAGTGGAATTGCTCTAAGTTGAAGTGAGGTCAGAATTGCATTTCTTGGCTATTTGTGCTCTGTTAAATCTACTTATTTTAGTTTGATTTGTTGTAGTTAATCCCATAAAAAGTATTTATTACCCTTAGACACACATCTAAATCCTCAGAAGATATTTAGGCACCTAAGTTCTATACAGATTTCCCTTGAAATTTGGATCTGAGCTATCTGGCAAATATATCGTCTTTTAAAAGCCTCCATAATTGGTGATATAAGTATGAATAATGTGAATGTTCCATTAACGTTATATTCCGTGCACATCAGCTGACTGAATTCCTATCTTTTAGAAGTTCAGCCTTTTAGATTTGAGTTGTTGATTGATCAGTTAATAGGCCTTTCTGTATTTAGCTGTATTTTACTTCACACTTAATTTTTAAGGTCATTTAATTACTTTTTTTGCCCCTGTTTAGAGCCTCTGTATTTTGGATTTTTGCGTGGTTGAGAGAGGAAATGTATCACTGGTGAGGTCTTGTTTAAATCTCATCTACAGTCTGTTTTTGCAAGACTTTTTCAGTGCATCAGGGGATATCCATTGGCTATGTGAGAAGTACATTCAAAGACAGTCAGAATTTGAAAGAGCAAATACAATGATTACAGTTCCCAAATGTTGTTTGTTTGGAAGGAGATGTCTTTAGTAACTCCATAAAGAAGTAACACAGTTTCTAATCATCGTGGTCCCTAACAGCTTAACCAAAACTTTTCTGCAAGATCATTTAGAAGAATCTTCTATTTCATGTTTGTTCACAAAGTCTCACAGACTTTCAGGAGAAAAATCCTTCTGAATCCATCTGTGGATTCTAAGTGTCATCATCCTGGTAAAATCTTGTTCCAGACTTCATTCTTTGTTCTTTTTGGACATTCCTCTTCAGTATTCTTCTTCCACAGCACACTGGCTGTGTTTATTTCTCTTCTACAACAATCGTTGTTAGGAAAGGGTAATATACTGAGATGGATTATTTTCTGCAAATCCAGCTTTGTTCTTTACCCCATTCCCTCCAGTGTACTTTGGGGCAGTAAGCAGAAGAGAGAAGCTTTTCAGGTATCAAAAGTGGCAACATAAAGAGTATAAGAGGTTATAATCTTTGAGCAATTCATATCCACCATTAGTTACTGGAAGTTGTACCTTTCAGCAGAAATGATAGGTATAATATAGTAGTACATACATGTTGCATTCTCTTTGGATACATATGCATTATGTAAATGGGCAGTGGCAGGTCATTCTGAGTGGTCTTCAGAAAAGTAAGGGCAGGATTTAATCTTCAGTCTGCAGAGATATTTCAGGGAAAGGAAAGTCATGAGTAAGTAGGCCACCATCAGAGTAAGCTCCTCAGCCAACTGAATGATTACAAGAAGGTTCAATCTCCTTCTGATGTTCATATGTGCAAGTTTATCACTTGGATGTGTATATGAGATGCATTTGTAACGCATGATCAAAATAGACAGCAGAGAAGAAGCTGTAGACTATTCATGGCAGGTGTTGTCATTGACAACCAGTGATTTGTAACTTCTCGGGAATATTCCCAAATCTTTCACGCACTTCCAAACATTCCTTAGAACACTGTGCACGTCTTATGCTGGGGTATCCCAGGATACTGAGTGCCCTTCCCAGTGATCCCCACAATGAGTCATTCTGGAAACAAAACTTGCTTGGAGGAGTAGATCCTTAAGAGGATTTCTTAGCTATAAGGTGCTCCATTCAATGAACCAGTGGGAAAACCTCTGTTCTCATGACATTGTCGATACTGCACTGTGTTGTGGAAGGCTGTGCTCTAGTTTCCTATCTGCGTTGGTGCTGCTGCCAGTACTCAACCCAGCTGGGCAGTAGCCAGCAGAGAGGATCTGAGCTGGCTGACCAAAGGACCAGATGTGCAGTGAGTGCTGGCGCATGGATGCCAATGCTTCAGTGACTCCTCAGTAGTTCCAACAGATGGTGGTAAGATCCAAGTTTCTTTGGTGATAAGCTAGCAAAGTGATTCATGGAGCCTCACTTGATGATGGCAGTTTTTTGGGCATGACTCTATGAATGCACCATATGTCTTCTCTGGACCAGTGTGGTTAGCATTCAGTGTCTGGCAGATGGTAAATTGATCACCTATAGGGTGACTTTAGCTTTACTATCAGTTTTAGAATTTATTTCAAAGCATAGAAAATTCAAGCAGTTAGATTTCTGTCTCCTACGCAGCATACCTGCAAATTAGATTATTTGGTGGTCAGTGTATCTCACCACAGTACTCCAGTATTGCAAAGGCATCCTGTATTGCTGGCATCTTGCGAAGTTTCCCAGACATTAGCCCGCTTGAACTCTTTACCAGACAGTGAAGGATTTAAATACTATGGGTGACAGCAGTATTGACATAAGTGGTTTTAGGTTTCCATGTATTGCTACTTACACTCCAGTGACTTTATATCTGGAGCTGGCTGAAACGTTAAATTGACCACGATCTTGTAAACCTAGGATATTCGGCAGCCTGTGCTGTGGAGCATTCAAGCATTTCCACGGAATATGACAGCATAGATCCTGCAAGCCAAAAACCAAGGAAGAAAAGACAAGGAAAGAAAAAAAAAAAAAGTGAGATGGTATGTTAGGAAGATAAATGAAGGAGAAACACCATTACAAGAAACAAGAAGTACAGCACAAAGGGAAGAACCCAAGGAAGTGGGGGTGTGAGCAGAAAGAGAAGAAGGGATGAAAGTCAACTAGTGGAGTGGTTCCCATTATATTAATCTCCTCCATAATAAGCATTGCCATTGAGATTTTTATCAGGACAAGGCCTACCAAGGAAACTCCGCAGGATAGTACTCTGTTTGTGCCAAAGTGGCAAGAACTTTGTCACATATCTGGGAATACATTGTGCCCTTCTCTATCAAAATTCTCCACAGGGTCACCAAAATATCAGTGCCTGTTAGCTATCCTGTCAGCCAGCTTCAAGTGATTCAAAGTGATGATTCCTGCTAACTCGCTCCAGAGCTACTCAGTGTAAAAGGACATTTTGTAATACCCGTTCTGTACAACTATCCGTGGCTGCTCCTTGATGCTGTCAGCTGGCTGACTAATGTAACCTTCTATTTTCCTTTGAGTTTTGACAAAAACAAAGCAGTGCAAGTTCATTCGGATACAGACACCTCAGATCAGGGGTTAGTAATGTAAGACAGCCAAAAGAGGAGAGCACAGCACCACAAGCATAAGAAAGTTGAGGAGAAACCATAAATAGCATAACGCTGACCAAGGGACGAGCGTTGCTTTTGCAACGGTGAAAAGCAGCACTCCAGTTTACCATGTCCAGATAGCTGACTGTAAAGGTGAAGATTTTTATTTTCTCCGCTCACTTCAAAATAATACGAAGCTGAAGGAAAAACAGTTTCCTAACAGATGGCCTCAAGGTCAGGGTTTAGTAATTACTAGATACCCTACCCAAACTGCCTTCTACTCCCATATCCCAGGCCGGGGACAGCAGAGAGGAAGGCTTGTAAATGGTTAAAGCTTCAGCTAAACAAAAGTCAGGAACCGTGTAATTAAAACTCTACCTTTGTTGTATTGTAAAGAGTTAGCCTGTGACATAGGAAATATTTAAAGGAGCAGGCTGTTCAGCTAATTTGTGTGTGAGTGAACTGCTTAGACAGTCCTATCCTAAATTAACTGTAAGGCCACCCACTGAGATTGCCTCATAAAGGGCCATGATTGCTCAGCTTCGTTTTGTATAACCGTTCAATAATTACTAGATAAATGCATAACTAAAAGCTCTATTACACTAATAATTTGTACTGAGATAGATGTGTGGGACACCATGCTGGGTTAATTTGTCATCCCTGCAGCAAACTTCTAAAGAGGGCTCTTTTGCAGAGGAATTGTGTTAATATGTTGCTCCAGTGAGGACATGTTAGAGCAACAAGATGACTTGGTCGCTTAATCTCCTAAAGAGCCAAAATGCCTGGAGGGTAAGTGCCAGAAAGAAGAATGGGGGGTGATTAACACAGTGGACCCAGATTTAAACTCATCCTGAC